CGATCCAACTCTGCCAGCCGCCTCGGCCCAGACGGCGATGCAAACCAAACTGCAGACTCACCGAACAGCACTGGCAGCTCAAGTAGCACGAGCCGTGCTTTCAACCGCGCAAGTATTTACTTGACCAAGATCAAGCAAAAGCCCCAGAGTGTGTTCTCCAAAAGTACATCGTCGCTCTCGTTGTCAGCCTCGGCGTCACCCAGGGCCCCCAAATCCGTCGAATCCGAAAGCACTGCCCCGTCAGCTTTCGGCGCCACCGCTACCGCCAGCACCACCGCACCCTCCGCCCCCGCCGCAGCCGCAGCCGCAGCCGCAGCCGCACCCGCATCCGCAGCGAAATTGGCCAGCTTCCCTGTTGTTGCTGGGGATAATGCTTCTCGCAGTAGCGTTGCCTCATCTTCCACGCCCCGAAACTCATCTCATACCGCTTCCTCCGTCGACACGACAGCCGAGAACGCGTCTCAGTCTACCACGGACACCGGCGTCACCATGCCGCACCCAACATCCCGAGATCCGTTATGGAATACATTCCGAATACTCGATACCGATTATGCCAAATTCACCACTAAAAACTCGACTTCGGCACGCATCGGCGTAGTGCGGCTGACGCTTCTACCGTTCTTGCGTAGTACGTCCCATCACCCGTCGAATTTCAATCGGTCAATCCTGAGCCCCGAGGATATCGAGCGCCGCGCAATAATATTGGACCAATGGTGGAATGGCTTGCTGGAGATACTGGATCTCGGCCACACGAGGCCCTTCGGCAGTAACTTTGGGCAGATGGCGAATGGTGCTGCCTCGAATCAGTTCTCGACGGCGATGAATATGCAACCCGTCGCGGGTGTCGACCGGCCGACACTACTGGAGGCAATCGCCATGGTTATGGCGCGGCCCGAGTGGAGGTTATGCACCAGCTCTTTCCAACCACTGGCAGAGCGCTCACCAGAGGAGAGAGTCCGTGCAAGGTCGGGAACTCAGTCAACCATCGACAGCGATCAGGGCTTCCTAGCCGAGTCGGCTGAGCACAACGTCCGCAACATGTTCGTGACCAACTTGGTTGCGCAGATGGCCCTAGTTGTCGACAAGATGTCAATGCGCCACGCACCCTTGAGCCTCGTAAACTGGTGCGGTAAGGCATGTGCGTATGCCTTCTTCTTCGCTCCAAACGTCGCCGACGTTCTCGTGCGCCTCTGGATCCTCAATGGGGATCTGCTTCGCCGGGTTAGTGACGAGTTTGGACTGCCACGAAAGAACAAGGGGGAGAGCGAGGATATCGTGGCACTCTTTCCACCGCATCTAGGCAAGCTTGGCTGGTCATCAGTGAAGGAGCTCGGAGATAGATTACGATTGGCGACAAAGCTGCCTCTGACGCTTGCTAAAATCCCATGGCACGGCCAATGGGTGTCGAGGTGGCGGGGTGGTGATACGGACCTGTTCTTCATCTTCAGCAAGTACTACCATATCCTTGCCGAGGAGTTCATGCCAGAGGGCCTTCCCCTACTCGAAAAGGCCCGCGCCCCGGCTTTTGTCCTGCTTCACTCGCAGCTTCTCTCGATCCTAGACAGCACCATCCACCGACAAGCTTCTATCGATGCTATGATGGGCCCCCCTCTCTCCGACTCGCTGCACGGCGCTGACGCAGCACTGACGGGACTCCCTCTTCCTAGCAATCTCCTCAAGTCGATGGACGAGAATCGGCTGGTCATCCTCCTCAAGGATATGCTTGCCGAATCCTCTTCGGGCGTTGTTGTTTCGGGAATCAAGCACACCTTTGCCGAGGCTTTCGTGCGCGTGCTCAAGGCCGCTACGAAACGGACGTCACGATACGAGCATGCCGCTTGCTTTACATTGTGCGATTTCCTCGAAGTCGCCTTGATGACGCTGGATTCGTATCAAAACAATGTAAACAACAGCATAGCGACATCGCCTACACAAGACACGCACGATACTTTCGCTCTTGGGTTACCCAAAAACCCACAACCCGTCGACTACATTGACTGGCCGTTCTGGTTCGATGTTGGCAAGATGATTATGGGTTCCAACAACACAATGTCTGAGATCCGTATCATATCCTTCCTTTACTCTATGTGGGATGCTATCACCGCCGATGCTTCGCGCAAGGAGGCGCTATGTCTTGACTGGCTCCTCTCAGAGGAAATATTTGAGAAGTTTTTCAACAATTGGTGTCCGATGGTTCGGGCCTACTACATGCGCTTACTCTGTTGGCGCGTATGCAGGGACTTGGGCAGCCCGAACGAGTTGGACGTGTAAGTAACCATCTCCACTGGTTTCTGGGTGTCATGCTAAATCAGACCCCCTTGTAGCAAAATCTTCCTCACCGTGTCACAGCGGCTGAGGACTGTTTGGTCGCACTACCTTTGGGGCAAGCAGACGGCCGAGACACAAGGTCGCATGCCTCCGTCCACCGCGCCATGTTACCCGACACCGGGGAAACGATTCCTAATCATCCGTACCGAGGTCCCGCCAATGCAGCCCAACATCCTGCCCGGTTTCGACTCATTCTCTACCTCCCAGACGAATTCAGCGCCCGACTATCGCGGCCTCTACGACTCGAATGTCGACAACTCGGTTGCCAAAGTGGACCCTGACTCGGCTGCCTATAAGAAGAAATGGTCACTCCTAGGCAAGGTCCTTTCCTTCACAGCCCAACAGGCGAATGCCGGCAATGGGGCTACTGGCAAGCGAACCTGGGATGAAGAGCTAGAACAGGCTCGCCGTGAGACGGCGGCATCGAGAACGGCGGCCGCGCGCTCTGGCCAGCCAAATCTGTTGCAGTCTGCAGGCCCTCCTCCTCCACCTAAACAGAGACCATCACACACATCTACACCATCGTCCGATTCGGGCTCTTCAACGGGGTCCGCGCCTGTATACGATGCCGCAACGTATATCTTTCGCTTCTCTCTCGCTTGGCAAGGTAACGGTCCTGGTTCCGGCAGTCCTACACGAGATCGGATCTTGAGTCGGCCTCGTCTTCCGGCCCCTGCGCAGGCCTGTGTCAGTACCCGAGTTGCCAATATGAACGGCAATGGTAACCTCAAGGGCGGTGTAATTTTCCGCAGCGAAAGCCCGCCTCGTATTGCCGCCGGGCTTCCGCCCGTGACCAGGCGCGTCAGTGGAGTCATGCAAACAGGCCTCGTAAGCGAGGCCCGGAATGCGAGGCCTCTGTCCATGATGAGTGTGCCAAACACGACAGACTTGGACAAGTCCGACTTCAAGCGTCTCTCACTTAATATCAATGTCATGTCGATCCGACTCGACGACGAAGCAGTCGACGATGACGGGTCAGATGTCCGATCGCCAACGCCAATGTCGGCAACATTCGAGGGCTACGAGTCTGATCGCGGCATATCCCCTGATTTCGAGTGCGAGAGAGTGCGACCTCCGCCCCCGACCGTTCGTGCGTTGCGTCCGGTCGGCATCTACGCCCAGGGCGCCGTATATGCGGGGCGCGCTCTGGCGGAGTGGAGCCTGGTGGTGGGCGAGTGCAACAGTTTTGTTGACCGTCGACGAGATGAAGGTGTCTTGGGACTGAGCGACGTCGAGGTTCCATCACTGTCAGTCGAAGGATTGGGGATAAGACAAAAGGCTTAGAGGTCGACCCGGCACCATCACATCAACATCACGTCTTCCTATTTTGGACAACACTTTCTTACGGCGTTGGGGTCTTGGGTGGCATAGACACAACACAGCAATTCTCTTTTTTCGTGGTTCAGCATGCGGGTCATATCCGGCGGTAATGCGTAATCGGCTTTGGTTAATGAGCATTTGAAGCGACTTTCAGCGACGACGTCACTTGATGTCTGTTACTCGCACATGGCAAAATGTTATCCGGCTATTTCTTTCTTTCGGTTTGCAAAAAACACATCAACGGCGTTGGCTAGCCCGGTCAGGCTAGGAAGGTTTTGTTTGGAGGGCTTCACATTTTCAGTTACGAGCATATTTGGGAATCCTGGATTTCGTCTCTCGTCTCGCGCATATCTGCCCGACACTTTGCTTGCTACATCATGATGGCCTTTGGCATGAAACTGGGGGGAGACAAATAGGAAAAAGACAGCCTTGATTGTAGCCAGTGGTGGTGGACATGTTGGCTATCGCATCCTTGCCTAATGCTTTTGGTGTTTGGGATGCGGGGCTTGGGAATTTGGAAATGGATGGGATATCCGAACGAGATCTGTTTCAGAGACAGACATATCTGTACCTTTATTGTATCATATTCCACATACCAGCGCATATGGCGAATTTCACAATGTGTTGCGTGATCGTTTTGCAGCACTCTGACAGCGTCTTTGTTCACGTTACATGTCTGTGCCTTTAGGTATGGTGCGGTCCCAATGTAAGTCCCAATGTAAGTCGGTTTCTACTGCACAATCAAGATATCATTTCCTGCCGGTTCAGCAATGGATCTGGAATCGACAGGATTTCAGCAACTGGTTAATGACGAATGCCAGCTACTGGAAGTGTCGACGCCGCACCAGCGCTGGTTAGATAGGTCGCCGATGCCCACGGCGTTCGCATCACGGCTCCACCCCGACGACGTCAAGGGCTTGAAAGTCCCACAAACGGGCCGTCATTCCAACAATTGAGTAAAGCTCCTTGTGGTGTAGTTGGCTATCACGTTCGGCTGTAATTGGAAGATGGACATACCGAAAGGTCACCGGCTCGATTCCGGTCGAGGAGACTCGTCAGATCTTTTTGTCTCTCCGACTCTTATCAAATCGGATGTATGACCTAGATTTTCTTAGGTCCCCAAATGATGCAGTGCTCCTCGTAGAACTGGAAGAAGAGGCTTTTTTATTCATAGTATTTTGTGGGTTTGGGTCGCTCATACGCAAAACTACATTCCAATGCAAAGAATATTATTGAATGTGAGTAATGTATGGGAAGGAGTTGGTTAGACATCAACAATATCTCAACGAGATGAGAAATCGGGTGACGGAGAGGGAAGAGAAGTTTACCCAGGAGCCAAAAAGATGATTGTGTGATCGCACCCAGAATTGAACTGAGGACCTTCAGCGGAAGTTTGTCAACCTGCTGAAGCCCAAGGGGCTCAAGCAATTGTATGTTAAGCTGACGTGATAACCAACTACACCATGCGGCCGTGCTTGCTTGTCGAAGTTTCGGCATCGAGGTCCACGCCATGAATGGGGGTTGGAACATGGAGCTGTGAGTTTTCATCGTGTGGATAGCGGGCTTGCTGGGACTTGGTTCCCACGCAAGTGGAGTTAGGGCGGGTCTGGGCAAGTTTGTGTGCAGTTCCGAGGGGCGATACTTTAGAATAGAGTTGCCTTTGGCAAGGCAGATCTCTCTTTTAAAGGACCCTGGGGCTTGTTTTGCCAATATGCAAGAACTTCAGCATTAGAAACTGTGAACCATGTTGGAGTTTGTTTACACCCCTTATTCATGCATGCTCGCCTAGCGGCTAAATGGCCACCACCTCACGCCCTTCCAAGCTGTGACCGTTATCAATAATAACCGACCCCCCTTGGCAGCGCTACGAGGAAAGAGCCAGAACTCTTCAGTTTCGTCAAACATATCACTTTTGCAATGTACGCTTCATTCATCGTGAAAAAGCAAATGCTGCGCCTGATGCCCTCTACCGGCCCCAAGGAAAGCTCTATCAAGTTTATGTGGCCAGTATGATACTGTACCCAGTATATATCTCCCATACCCCGTTCCGTTCCGTTCCGTTCCGTTTCCGAGTCCATTTCGCCCATTTCACCCCGTACCTACATATCTTATATCCCTAGTTATCCCCTTTTTATGTCCCTAAAACCCATTGGACCCATTGAAACCGTTTCCGTTGACACCGTTGCCAATCTTGGCTGTCTCAGCCACCGCACGCTCAAGGGCTTGGAGAACATCCGCTCGGAGATCCTCAGCATCCTCGACACCGCAGCTGATGCGCACCAAGTCGTCGAAGACGCCGACGGCCTCACGCTGCTCCTTCGGAATACCAGCATGTGTCATGCTGCTGGGGACCTCGACGAGACTCTCAACGCCGCCGAGCGACTCGGCAAGAGTGAAGATCTTGGTGAGCTGGCAGAAGCGCTCGGCGGCGGCGTGGCCACCGCGGATGCGGAAGGACACCATACCGCCGCCCATGCCGTTGCGGTGCTGCTTGAGGGCGATGGCACGGTGGGGGTGTGAGTCGAGGCCGGGGTAGTTGACGGCAATGACGTGGGGGCTGGCCTCGAGAGCGATGGCCACGGCGGTGGCGTTGACGGTGGCTTCGCGTGCACGCAGGTGCAGTGTCTTAGCGCCGCGGTGTGCAAGCCACGAGTCAAAGGCCGAGGGAATAGCACCAATGGCGTTCTGTAGGAAGGACAGGCGCGCAAGCAGCTCGTCGCTGTTGAAGGCAGCCACGCCCATGACGACGTCGCTATGTCCGTTGATGTACTTGGTCACGCTGTGCACGACAATGTCGGCGCCGTGATCAAGCGGGTTCTGCACATAGGGGCTGAGGAAGGTATTGTCGACGACGACTAGGATGCCGTGCTCATGAGCGGCGGTAGCAACGGCGCGGATGTCAACCAGGCGCAGGGTCGGGTTGCTGGGCGTCTCGATCCAGACCAGCTTGGTGGCTTCGGTGATGTGCTCGCTGATGTCGACCTCGATTTCGGGCGTGAAGGTGACCTTAACGCCGTGGGCTTTGGCGACCTGGGTGAAGTAGCGGTGGGTGCCGCCATAGACATCGGACACGGAGATAACGTGCGAGCCCGCGGCGAGGGACTGGAGAATGTTGGCCGTCGTGGCACTGCCAGATGAAAAGGCAAGGGCGTGCTTAGCATGCTCGAGAGCAGCGATGGCAGCCTCAAAGTTACGACGGTTGGGGTTGCTGCTGCGGCTGTACTCATACTCGCCGACGGGCTTCCCGACAGCGGTCTGGGCGAAGGTGGTTGACAGCGAGATAGCCTCGATCACGGCACCTGTCGCGGGGTCGTGCGGGGACCCCGCATGGACGGCCAGGGTGCCAAAGCCGTGAGTGGGCGACGGCGCACGCGGCGGCGTCGCGATGGGCTGGTCGCTGTGAGCCGTCATGGCTCTGAAATCTTCGTAATTGGTGCGGGTGACCAATAAGTGCGAGGTGTCGATTGGACAATTGCAGCAACGGGCGTTGGAACAGTGCTGGAACGTGGGGGTCTTATGAGCTGTTTGAAGATGGCGAAGGACTCGGTTTTGGTCAAGTTTGGCGGGGCTTTGGATTGTGCGATAATTTTCGCCGATGGTGCAATTTCTCTTCTCTCAGGTCCCGCCCACTCGCAACGCGACATCCACACCCTGTTTTAAATATGTTTTGCGCCTGCCACTTTGCGCCGGATCAACGCCGAACTCGCTCCGGCTCCGACTCGAATTATTAAAACGCTGCTTCCAGAGGGTGCGGTGTGTGCGCTCTCGTTGGGCGTCGACGGGCGGCCATGCAACGACGTGATTGCTCATCGGGACTGATTGCAAATGCTGGGAACGCATGTGGAATCAAACCTTGTCGCCTGGATGCACGGCACGCGCCTTCCGCCTACCCATCACCTAACAGCACGCCTTCCAACTGGACCGTCCTCTTCCGAGGCACATGCGGCACTCCATAGCGCTCCGTTTTGAAGAAGAAAAAAAAAAAAAACGCAGGGCCCAGAACGTAGCTTTGCCAACAAAGGAAAGCACGACGGGCTGAGGGTGCAGATGACTTCACCGGATTCTCCAACATGTCCACAATATCACGACGATCCCCGAGCTCAGTGGGTATTCACTCACATGCCCAGGCTGTTCCAACGGAAATCGACAGACGGTGAACGGATGGCGACACCACATTACTCCATCCACTCGGGATTGGTATGCTAGGTCCGTTCCGTGGCGTGACAAGCAACCGCTGCGTGAAGGATGGGCTTTGAGGGACCCGAGGACCGGATGCGGTATGCGCAATGCGCAATGCAATTGGGAGAATGCGGGGTAGCTTCGGCGACTCTTCAACGCGTCCAACGATTCGGCTAAAAATAAGATGGATGGCGCCTTGTGGCAAGAGGGAGGTTGCGTCCATGAGGATGGAGGCAGATGGAAAGATCTGGGGCAGATCTGAGGCGGGAGGACCGGCCGGCTTATCGTATCTGACCATGCGGTACGATAGTAAGCATGGTGGCATCATAATGACTTGGCAATGCGACGGGCTGCGGCGCGACCTGGCAACTGCCGTCATCAAGTCGCGGTGCCTGACTAGGATATAAATTTCCCATTGCTTCATGGGTTGCGAGTCAGTCTTGATGGGATGACATTGCTCTCGGTCCGGACTTTGGACGTTGCACCGGGCTGTCGGATGAGAGCAAACGCGGACGGGCCGCAACCCGGAGCCGTGGCTTGAGAACGGGCGGTCTGTGCCCCTGGCCAAGATCTCCATGTCCCGGCATCGCCTTTGGCCACGTGATTGCTTGGTTTCTATTGTCCCTGAAGTGTTCGTATTGCGCGTTCCCATGATGCGTAGCCATCACCGACCTCTTTGTCTGTCTTGCTGCTGCGGTTGAGCGCTGCCAAAGAGTGATGCCGTTCGCGGCAGTAGTGTTAGCGTCAGGAGCATCAGTGCCCATGTCGCGCTAACAGGGGACCTAGAATCGTCCCCTGCCGAGCCAACCCCACCTAGCACCGACACATGCCATTGGTCGCAGTCGGCCGCGAGGAGGAGGGTGTTGAGGGATTCGAGGGATTCCTTGTCCATGGTCGAAGAGAGGCCCTCGCCGCCACGCACTCTTTGACGGCTCCGTGATCGACGAGTCGACTGCGCCGCCCGCTCTCATCAACTACGACCCTGCCTCGCCGCTGCACATCCCAAGCCGTGTCCTGGGGAAGCAATTGACCAGCTCCCTGTCTGTGCCGCGGGCGCCGACTATGGAAGCCGACGACTGCTCGCGCTGCCACCAAAGGCCCTAACCACCCCGTCGGTCGAGCGAGCCAGCAAGCATGCCGCCGCGTCGCTCCCACAAGAAGTCGAGGGCCGGGTGCCGCCGCTGCAAGTCGCGCAAGATCAAGGTAAAATTTCCCTCCAGCTCCAGCTCTAACCAAAGTATCCGAGATGTCCGGACAGGTAGGACACCCAGCTGACAAACTCCATCGCAGTGCGACGAGATCCACCCTCGATGCGGCAACTGCCTCAAGCACGGCGTCGACTGCGACTTTGAACACCCCGAGGTCCTCACCGAGCTCCAGACCGCTCCCTCTCCATCAACGCCCGCCAGCTCCGCCGGCTTCCGGTCGCCCGTCGTTCGCGCATCCGTCCCAGCCTTCTCCTTTGCCTCGGCCGCGGGACCGTCCTTCGCAGCGCCGCAGCTGTGTCGCCCCCCGGCCACTCCTACCATGTCCTTGACGACGCCGGCAGGCCACCGACTGCTGGAGCTGCGCCTGATGCACCAGTACACCGCAATGACGTGCAAGACGTTTACCTTCACCGCCCCCGTAACTGAAGATATATGGAAGATTACTGTGCCAAACCTCGCCTTCTCTGGATCGCAGCACTTGGCCGACGCCATCCTCGCCGTTGCCGCGCTACACTTGCGTAGCTTGACGCCCAACGATAAGGACCTCGTCCGCGCATCGCATGCCTATATGGCGGCCTCACTTGCCGAATACAGTGCGACTCTCACTAGGGGTATCGATAACACCAACGCCGAAGCGCTCTTCCTGACAGCCGCCCTCATTGCCTTCCAGTCTACTGCAACCCGTGTTTTTATGAAAGACGAGTTAAGTCTTGGTAGGGGAGGCAATGTGGATGGAGAGGAGCGGGAGCGTAACCCCGCCGCAGGGTGCTACGCCATCCCCTTTTCCTGGTTTCACTCGTTCCAAGGTGTCAAAGCCATCACGGCAGCTTCGTGGCAGTACCTTCGCGCCAGCCCCGTCGTGACGCAGGTGATCAACTCCCAAGTGGTCCTACAGCTCGACTTCACAAGCGGACCCGAGACCTTCTTCGGTCATCTCCTTGATGGCCTCGAGGAGGAGCTAGCCGCCATGCGCCCCGCAAGTCACAACAACAGCAATAACCCCGACAGCCAACCCCCGACCCCGTCCGTGAACGACGGCAACGGCAACCCCCCTCTCGCCCCAACCCCGGAAGCCTTCAACACC